CCTCCCAGGCCAAACCAAGCGCACTGGTGGGCTGTTGGGTGTGCCAATGGAAGCAGCAACCAATCCTATTCCCCCACTCATCCTTTTTCTTGGCCCACCAAATCACTTTTTGCCCGGCGATTGTCCTGGGGGCACCAAGCCTGGAAAAACAGACTCGTGTTTCATCCGGCGGAAGCATTTTGCCCCCCATGACGTGCTAGTTTTGGTCCAGCGATTGTCCCGGGGGGGCTCCAACGGCTGGAGATGCCCTTACATTTGGATTTGGCCCGTAATTTTTACCGGGTCAACAATTTCTCAAGGGACTCTCTCATTCAGTTAAGGTATTTAACTTTGGATTTGATTCACGATTTTGTGTGGGACAACACGTTCTCAAACCAAGCTAAAATAACACATCAGTCCCGCACATCCTCTCACCGCCTAGAAATAAGAAGCTTCAAATGTGGTATTGTAGCACTAATATAATACATGCCGCCACCGGTACAGTAAACTTCCCCATATAAGTTTGAAGAAAACACAAAAAAGCCCACCAAAACACCAAATTGTAAAAATAAAACACACATCTTCTCCACATGCCAAACCAAATAACAAAAAAAATATTTAAAGTCCCAACAGCACCGACGGGACAACGAAGCACACTCAACCCTTCTAATGTTGTATCAATGTAGAGCTCATTGCTCTTCCTGACAATGTACTTACTAGTGTACAATGTATTTGTGGACCAGATTTCATATTCCAAACATTGATTCTTCTATCTATACCAAATCAGATAATTTCTAGACCAAATTGCACACTCTAATTTAAATATTTTGGAACACATGCAGATTTTATTTTGCACGAAATCAGACAAATTTTTACTTTTTTAACACATCCATCACAATGCAAGTACAAACGTACCCTTCAAAAATTGCTTTGAGATCAAGATTTTTTTAAGAGGGCGTAGTAACAAAAGATATGCAACAACAGGAAACAAGCAAGAACGACTCTTTATTATTAGCAACGAAAGGTCAGAAGACAAAGTGAATGACAAGACCCGTGTGATGACCAAGACAGATTTATGTGTGCAAAGGGGATAAGTTGATCAAGGCATCAAGGAATTCGGCATCTTCGTGACTGCGGACTAAGGTAGGAACAACCCTGCTTGGGTGTTTGCAGCCTGTGCATCTTCTGGTCAGCCACCATCTGGCAAACTCTGACGGAATTTCATGCTTCCCATACACAAGGAGCCATCCAAACCTGAACCAATAATAGCGCTCTGGTATGGAGTCAGGTTTTTCAGCACTTGCGAGGAGTACTAATCTGAAAATCTGCAAAAAGCACCACACCATCTACTTTGTTCTTTTTAGCCTACAAAATAAATAGACGCTTTAAAAAGAAAACATCGCAGAGAAAGATAACACGCCCCATAGCTACCAGGAAAAAATGTAATGCATTTTTGTATCTAGCTAGTACGAAATGTAGAGGGTGGGGCAAGGTGCAGAGGATATATAGAACAAAAACTCTGTTCACTAGTGAGGAGTCCTCAGAAGTGGCTGAAATTTCTTTTCAAGTATTTCACGGACTGCATTCCCTGCCTCAAAAAAAGCACACAAGAACAAATGAAGGCGCATGAATCACAGAAATAAAACAAAAAAGTTCATTATGATGTCATAATGGAGGGGGAGAACTGTTTGATGAAGAAACCAAACAGTGCATCATCTAAGGCCTTGCTCCTCCTTGGAACGCTCAATGCCTGCAGAAATGAGAACTAGAAGAGAATGGACCGACGCCGATTAGACCAAAAACGAAGCTGCATTTATAAGATATAAGATCAACTGGTTTAGGTACTATTTGAAAATTTAGAGAACTGATATGATATACAACATAGAAGACTTATTTTGATGCGTCTGGACCAAAGGTGCCGTCAGTGGTATGAAACAAGACAACTTTGACTTGAACATTATGACAGCTAATAACATATACTTTGTTTTACTTCAGTAAGCTCTACATTATTTCTGAATCTGCAAAAAGAGTGACTATTGATGGCATGACTTTGTTGTGTCAATAACAGTAATAGCTAAGTAGAGTAACAAATTAAAACATCATTGAAGGTACAGGTATTGCTAATTCAAACCAGAACAGAATGGACTGGTATTGATAGACAAAAAAATGATAATTATATCCAGGCTCTACTCATATTATATACCTTGAAGTATGACTAATTATATTGGGGCTCTACTAATTATATACTCCCTCTGTCCGAAAAAGCTTGTCCCTCAAATGGATGTATCTAGCATCAAGTTAGTGCTAGATACATCCATTTGGCTTGGGACCAGCTTTTTCGGACGGAGGCAGTATGTGAGTATCACTTAGAGCACTGAACTTTTTCATTTTCAGATACGCAGAAGGAAAACCATTGTTCTACCCAGATTAACCAACTGGGTGAAAACATGCAAATCGCTTGATGTGCTGCTTTGTTTTCATAATGAAGGATAGACCACATTAAGATTTAAGAATCATCACCCCAAAAACATACGAGTAGGAGACTACGAGGCCCCTTGCTTAAAAAGTTCTTCACCTTATAACGCTGCGTGGGCCAGGTAAACAAGAAGCGCTCCATTTCTGAATTATTCAGTGTGTGTGCAGTAGCAACAAAAGCACAATAATCTAAAAAACTAAATCAATTGGAGGCCTAAAAAGTAAACTCTTGTACTAAACCACGGCTATAGGAAGAGTGCACAACGAAGGATCCACAGCTATGTGTGCTGTGTGCATCCCAGTTACATCGCCGGAGGACCGCTAAGATGTCGGTTAACTGAACCAAGCCTCAGTTCCAACAGAAAGCAGAGTTGCTGCTGAAAAACAATCGAGTATGGCAAAAAAATCCCTACAAACTAAAGGAGGCATACCCACACTCCTCTCAGCCTAGCGTGGAAGCATATCAAAGCATTCAATCAGGCGCCAAAAATTGCCGATAGCTCGCTGTACTGCGGGAAAGACCAACAATAGCCGGTGCCATTGCTGATCGGCTGTGTGGTGAGCCTGGATGTGGCGTGGTCGGGCGAGAAGCAGCCGTAGCTGTCCAGCGTCGATGCCTCACTGACTTGTGACGACTCTGGTGTGGCCCAATCTTGGCCAGGGAGGAGGAAGGTGGTGTCATAGGAGGAGGTCAGGGCGGACGGCTGAAAGGCCCAAGCGCCGGTGTTATCTCTCAAGGGTGTCGTAGCATTGTAGCTGCTCAGCTCGGAGGTGGCTGGTGAGACGAAGCCATAATTGCCCAGTAGTGCCGTCGACGTGTCGCTCAGGTCCGAATTCACTGGCATCGGCATGGGCCAATCTTGGGCGGGGCGGAGGAAGGTGGTGCGGTCGAAGGTCAGGGCGTGGTCGGCGGCCATGGAGAAGCTGGGAATCAGCGGTGTGGCTGTGTGTGCTATGCGTACCGGCGGTTCTTGCGGCTCCTCTGGTTCTTGCTCTGCCTGCGGCCGCTCGACTGAAAGCAAGAACGCTTCTTGAATCCCCGATGTAGCAAACAGTGCGGGCGGATTTGGTGCGGCAGGAGGCGGACGGAACTGCAGGCATCGCCTCACGCGGGCCGAGGAACCCTCGACGGAGCGCTCATCCGCGGCCGCCGCCTTCCTCTTGGATCCCGACATCGACGACGACCCAGACGAAATCGTCTTCGAGGCGGACCGGCCGGCACGACGCTTCTGGTAGATTTTGCAGAGGACGGGCATGGCCTCGCCGCGGCGGGGTTCTTGTTGGCTGAACTCGAGCATCAGCCAGCCGTTCTTGGGCTCGTAGGTGAAGGATTGGCGGTACCCGACGATGCCGCCGTCCCCGTCGAGCACGACGCACCGCGCCTTCTCCGAATGCCAGGTGCCGGCCCCACCCGCGACGGCGCGGCACCTGCGGGTGTCCCGGCTGCTCTGGGCCCGCACGGAGGTGAAGAAGTACCACTCCCTGCCCTCGCCGTCGCTCCTCGCCGAGGCGGAGAGGAGGCCGGTGACGAGCGCGGCGGGCTCGGCCGCGTACACGTCCGCGTTGTGGATGTACCGGGCGTCGGCGGCGGGGAGCGAGGACCCGGAGATCTTGCGCTGGAGGTGGATTGTTATGAGATCGGCGTCGCCGGGGGCGAAGATGAGGCCACGGGGCCAGTCGGGCGCACGCGGGGACGCCATGAGAGGAGGAGGGACGGAGCTAGCCAGCTAGGGTTTGACGGCGCGTGCGCGGGAGAGGGATGGAAAGAAGAGGGGATCTGCGCGGTCCAAGCCTTTCCTTTTGGAATTTGGTTCGGGGACGGGAAAACGCGTGCGAAAGTGAAAACGGGGAGAGCGGTGACGTAGGTGAGCTCGGTTCGTTTTGTTAGTTTTTTCTTTCTTTCTTTTTGGAAATCTTATTATCCTGACATTCTCAGGGAAGTCCCGGCGAACGCCCCAGCCACCGTTCGATTCTTTTGCATGAATCTTGAAGCAGTTTACTCAACCCTTCGCTCTGTGTACTTTCTATTGCGAACACCCTCACACCACAGGAGGCTTATCCTCTCACCCCCACGCGCCGCAAACTCCAGTCCCCATTTCACCCATCCCTTCTCCTCCTCCTCGACGGCAACGCGGCAGGGCAATGGTGGCGTGGGCACCTCCTACACGACGACGACGCGACATGGCAACGTTGGTGCGGCGAGAGGCTACGGTGGCGCGACACCTCGACATATCAGAGTGGCTCCCGCGGGAGGAGGGGGGGTCCAGCCAGGGTTACGAGGGGGCCGTTAGGCTCCTCCCCTTCTCCGCCGCCGTCGCCACCGCCTACCCAGACAGCAACCTCGCTGTCACATCCCATATTTTTCCCAAATCTGGTATGTTTAATTTTCAACACGAAATTAAAATTTTCCAAAAAATGTTTGACATTGACTGCAATTTACCATTGTTGCTTCCTAGTCAACTAACATTGTCTTGTTTGCCTTGTTTGATCACCTAGAGGGTTAAGGACCCTATTGCCACATTTGAAACAATTGTTTGAGATTTAGGAAAGTAGAATGAACCCTAAAAGGTTTAGTGAATAATTTTGAATTCCGAAATTGGGTAGCAATTGGAATATATTTTTGGGCATAATGTTATCCGTAGAAGTCCCATATAGTATTTAAGCCCCTGATAAATTTCGCAAAATGGTTGAAATGTATTGATGTTGGAATCAATTGAAAAATCAAAAGGGAAAATATTTATAAGGGCTTTGCATTGTTTGGCAGGAAAAATAATTGCCACAAGTCCAGATGAATGTTGGACCTTCTGTTAATATTCTAATTCAATTCAAAACATATTTGTTATGAAACCAACCTGAAGTTCAAAAGGAAATTAAAACAGAAAGGAAAATACACTGGCAAAAGTTATTTTCCTAAAAAGGGCAAATAAAATGTTCACATGCGCAGAAATTTTCCATTTGGAATTTAGAGAAAGTTTGTTTTTGAAAGAAAACAAAATTCAAAATTAAATGGAAACACCAGAAGAAACAGAAAAAAAAAAGAGAAAAATTTGAAAAAGGGGGGCCATCCAGCCAAGCTACCCCGGCACAGCTAGCCAGCCCACGAGCGCGCATTTCTCTCTCTCATCTCTCTTCTCTCTCTCGCTGATGCGTGGGGCCCACCACATCGTCCCCAACCTCCCGACGCGCCCACGACCTTGCTTGCAACCGACGCACTCCCTCACCCACGTCGCACGTCCATGTGCTCTCCATGCGCTCCCGAGCCCGTGGTAGTGTCCTATAAATTCCCCTTGACCCCTCTTCGTTTCCCCTCTCTTCCCTCGACACCGCCAGCAGGCTGCTCCATCGTGCACCCCCTAGCTCCGCCTCTGTCCTTACTGCCTTCGGCCGAATTTCGACAGGCACGGCCCACCCCGAGGCGCGTCGTTGCCACCAGGAGATCCACCGCACATCAGTGAGTCTCTCAGGCATTGTCTGTGCGCCCGTGGCCCTCTGGAGCGACGAGTTCATTAGAGGCCAAAGCTCCCCGCCGCCCCGCCATTGCTCCTAGTGAGGTAAGCTTGCACCCATCCAGCGCATCATGTACATTGTCTTTCTTTTGCTTGTGCACATCTCCTGATCCACTTGGTTCATCCAGAGGTGCTCACTTTTGAGAAATCCGCCATCACCTAAGAGCACCGATGCACGTGTGATCTTCGATGACCATGCTGACATCGATTGCCGTCGTCCATGAGGCCGACCAACACCACCGCTGTCCTCCCCGTGATCTGCCGCCTCCATCTGTGCCCATCATCGCCCCGAAGACTGCCGGAGCGTCGTTTTCGACGAGATCCAAGAACTACGTCGCCGCGTTTGAGTTTTTCGACAAAACTTCGGTGACGTAACCACCTCGAGGTGAGCCGATCTATTTCTGGCCGTTGGATTTAGATCAAATGTTCCACACGCACTCACTTGCGTGAATCTGTACGGGGCAATCACATTGCGCCACATGGCCCTGCCTTTCCACATGACTTTGGTTTAGTTTAATTAATTGGTAGTTTTGCATGAAAAAACCCTGTAACTTAGAAACACCATAACTTTTATTTTGTAAGGTTATCCATAGAAGTCCCGTATACTCTCTGCGTTCAAAAATACTTGTCATCAAAATGAATAAAAAGTGATGTATCTAGAACTAAAATACATCTAGATACATCCCCTTTTGTTCATTTTGATGACAAGTATTTCCGGACGGAGGGAGTAGTATTTAAGCCCCTGATAATTTTCGCAAATTGTATGAAATGGATTGATGTTGGAATCAATTGAAAAATCAAAAGGGGAAATATTTATAAGGGCCTTGCATTGTTTGGCAGGAAAAATAATTACCATAAGTCCAGATGAATGTTGGACCTTCTGTTAATATTTTAATTTGATTCAAAACATATCTGTTTTGAAACCAACCTGAAGTTCAAAAGGAAATTAAAATAGAAAGGAAAATGCAGTGACAAAAGTCATTTTCCTAAAAAGGGCAAATAAAATGTTCACATGCTTAGAAATATTCCATTTGGAATTTAGAGAAAGTTTGTTTTTGAAAGAAAACCAAATTCGAAATCAAATGCAAACAAACGGAAGAAACAGAAAAAAGAGAAAAATTGAAAAAGGGGGGCCACCCAGCCAAGCCACCCCGGCCCAGCTAGCCAGCCCACGAGCGCGCATTTCTCTCTCTCTTCTCTCTTCTCTCTTCTCTCTCTCGCTGACGCGTGGGACCCGCACACATTGTCCCTAACCTCCCGACTTGCCCATGACCTCGCTCACAACCGACGCACTCCCTCACCCACGTCATACGTCCACGTGCTCTCTGTGCACTCCCGAGCCCGTGGTAGTGTCCTATAAATTCCCCTTTACCCCCTCTTCATTTCCCCTCTCTTCCCTCGACACCGCCGGCAGGCTGCTCCATCGTGCACCCCCTAGCTCCGCCTTTGTCCTTACTGCCTTCGGCCAAATTCCGGCAGGCACGACCCACCCCGAACCGCGTCGTTGCCACCAGGAAATCCACCGCACATCGTGAGTCTCTCAGGCATTGTCTGTGCGCCCGTGGCCCTTTGGGGCGGCGAGTTCATTAGAGGCTAAAGCTCCCTGCCGCCCCGCTATTGCTCCTGGTGAGGTAAGCTTGCGCCCATCCAGCGCACCATGTACATTGTCTTTCTCTTGATTGTGCAGATCTCCTGATCCACTTCACTACAAAAAGATACACTTCCGTGATGATACGTGTTTGTCACAGTATTTCGCGTTTTCTGTCATGCATGTACATCCATGACGATTTTATGACAGAATCAAGATAGTCATACTTGTGCTGTCGTAGAAGTGTTCCATGACATTACCAAAATTATCATCACGGAAGTGTCCACTTCCATGACGATAAATCACGCGTCACAGAAGTGCTTTCGTCAAGGGTGACCGACACGTAGCATCCACCGTAACGGAACGACGTTAAGCTATCAGGTAGGATTTTGGATCCGATAACCCGTTAATAGCCACGACCAATGCCAATTTTCCATGTGTAAAATTCTCATTGGCTGACGGATCCACGCGTCAGCTCCACGTTGGCACAGGTGTCACTCGTCCAACGGTCGAGATGGGCCTATGATATGTTGACACGTGGACTGGCCCAAAAGTGGCCCACAAAGTTTAAATGGGCCGGCCCAACCGAAGGCCCATAAGATTTAGCGGACCATAATGGGCCGGCCTAGTTAAAGGCCCACAAAATTTAGCGGACCATAATGGGCCGGCCGAGCTAAAGGCTCACGATTTTGCAGACCATAATGGGCCGGCCCAGCTAAAGGCCCACAAGATTTTGCGGACCACCATGGGCCGGCCCAGCTAAAGGCCCACAAGATTCTGCAAACCATAATGGGCCGGCCCAGCTAAAGGCCCAACATTCTCTATCAAATCGGCTCATCAACGTCCTGGTCTAAACTTGTCATCAATGCGGCCCATGGTCACTTCTGGCCCGTTAACAGTCCAGTAAGTAATTGGGCCGAATTATGGCCCGGTGTATTTCCGGCTTGTTAAAGGTCCGGCTTCATTTGGGCCCATTTATAGGCCATCAAAACTTTCGGCCCATAAACGACCGTGAAGGATTTGGGTCATATTCGGACATGTTTGTCATTCGGCTTGTTAGAGGCCCACTATAGATTTGGGCCACTTTCGGCCTATTGTCATTTTCGGCTTGTTAACGCCGGACGTAAACCATGGGCCATATGTGGCCCAACTTCATATCGGGCCCATTAACCGCCCATATAAAAATGACGATAATCTAGCCCGACTGAAGTTCCGGCCTGTTAAAGGCCCGTGTATTAGGTCGGCGCATTTACGTCCCATCCGAATTTTGGCCTGTCAAATATCCGCATCGTAAATGGGCCACCATTTCGGCCTGCTAAGTCTAGTGGGTTATTTGGCACAATCAGGGTCCAATCTCACTTTCGGTCTATTAAAGGCCCATGTTTTTATGGGCTCGAGATATTTACACATGTAAACGGCCTATTTTTACTGAGGGCCCAAATTATGTTCAGGCCTGTTAAAGGCCCACTATGGGCACAGGCCTACCAGAAAAATATGAAAGCTTATGCTGATTTAAGCCCAGATATTTTTAGTGAGCTACATGCCAATTTCTGCCCGTAATCATTTTTAGCCCAATTGGAATGGGCCTGACGAATGTTGGCATGTT